ACCCACAAAATATAATTAGTTTGACATAGGATTTCACAGCTGCATTAAAACTTCTGTTTCGCTACCCAGAAATGAGAACATTTGATATGTTTTCTTTTGGTATATTTGACATGGGTGTCTCTCTGGCCCTCATTTTACATTCCTTTCAGTGCTAATTTCCCTCCTAACACCACTAATCATATTTTGTTTTACTCGCTCCTAGAGCTGTGTGAAGGAACATAATCAGTCAATTCAGGGAGAATGTCAATAGTTCAAAGAATGGGTTTGCTCCTGTTTTAAAAAACATTGCAGAACCATCTACAAAGCAAAGCCCTGGGGTGACAGACAGATGTGAAAGTGCTGCTGAAGCAGTTTGACCGGTCAGGTAGAGACGTGGGTGGATGCTCCACCAATGGGGCAGCCACATAGACATTGATTCTTAGGGAGTAGCAGCTCAGGGAGCATCCTTTTCATGGGCTGTCCGAGGAGAACAAGCTCTAGAAATCCTCCTGCCTTCAGGCAGCTGAACAGCCACAACTTTGCACACCAGCACCCCTCCGTCATCAAGCCATCTGCCAGGCAGATGAGCTGGCAGAAGATCAGACAGGTACAATGAAAACCTGCTTGTTCTCTAGCATACCTTCCTCAGAATAGAGCAATCACCACACGGCATCGTAGCTTTGCCTGAAATGCTCCAGTGGAAATATGTTCACCTGGAGCTTCTCCAACCAGCGCTGCAGATGAATCCCAACCAACAGCTGCAGGCTGAGATAGGCAAACGTTGTCCGTCTCCATTCTGCTCATCGACCTGCACACCCATCCCTGGGGCTGAAGTTGTGCAGAGTGGCACCAATACTTAGCTTGATGTATAGGCTGGTGGGAACATCTAGAAAAAAATATATGTATTTTGGCCACTGACCACCCTTTTTGGACGAAGGTCTATTGGAGAGGGAGAGGTGACACTGAGAATGCAAACATCTCTTTGCTTCAACTCTTGTGCAAGCTGGGACAGCAAAATTTTAACACCAGGAATGTACTGGAAATCTTTGGTGGTACTTGAACTTGCCAGCACAGCCTTTTCATCTTTCTCCTGTAATAGAACCCTTTTCACTAAATGTAGAGCCTGAGTAGTGCTGACTCCCACCTGGTAATATTCCCCCTGAACAGCCTCTGAATTGCTGCAGAAGCAGGATGCAGCAGTGGGGCTTTGTGTCTGTCTGTAGAAGCAGTGCTCAAGGGAAGAGGACTTTAAATTCCCCAGCAAGAAGCGACTCCAGAATTCAAACCTGGCAATTACTGGCAGCATTACAATGTTTGTGGGCACAAATTTCTGTGCCAATATATGTTTTCATACCTATTTTATATTTTCAATAAGCATAAACAGAGCTAATTGGTGAATATAATGCTTTGGAAAGTCTGAAGACCTGTTTTTAATCACCTTTATAGTAGCTTTCCTTGAGAGGTTTTCTTTCACTAGTCTAAATATTTAATATTGTACTTACTGTCATTGTTTTTAGAGAAATACTATAACAAAGCAAAATAGGTAATGACTTGGTTGTCACAGGAGCAGGCCTTTCGAGATCATTAGAAGAAATAGACAACCACTTATGCAAGAGGTCCTAGTCTGCACGATTTTGCATCCTGTCCTGGAATTCCTCCCAGCTATCAGAGGTTCACAAAATCCAGGTGTTTTCTAAGACATAATACAGTGAACTTTTGGAATTAGCTGGTATGTGGCAAGCAGATACAACATGCAGCCAGTTTGTAGAGTTGGTTGTTTTGGAGAAAAGGGAAAATACTAAATGCTTGACTTCATGTCTTTGTATCTTTAATTTTTACTTTTTCCCTCTTTTCAACCCTAAAATACCACTACCAAATTTACAGAGGTACACAACAAAATTAAGCATGCCTTATTAAAACCCCAGGCTTCCAGAACAAGAAAGTATACAACACAGCCTAAGGAAAGAATTCAGACACAGAATTATGCGATACCATTGGAAGCTAGCAGCAAGGGAAAGGTTTTCAGTGGAAGAATGTCTGTTTAATGAGAAATGCAAAAAAAAAAAAAAAAGCTCATGAAATGCCTTAGATTTGTATAAAACAAAAATTGAGCCTCTAGTCCTGCTACTAGAGATACTAAATTTGACACATTGTATGTTCTTCTTCCTACTGTTTCTCTCACTTGCCCTGACTTTGCTTCTTAGGTGTTTGCTTATATATAACTGTAAGCAAGAGAAAACAACTGGCTTTACCTTAAACCAGGAATGTATCTAGATAAGGCTTAAGTCCTGCAGAAATTGAAACTGTTCTGGGAATCCTGGGAAATCTGCTCTTAGTGTTACACCTATTCATACCCATTCCATGGTTTCAGCCCCAGACTCGGGAAAATTCATTTTGTGCCAATCATAAGCACAAGTTTCATTGTGTCATTGCTTAAAGTTAGCTATCTTCTCAGGACTTGCTTGGCTCAATAATGATATTAAAGTAGATAGTTACGTGCTTTCCCTGTTGGGGTCTCTTTCTTTCTTTCTTTCTTCTTTTCTTCCTTTCTTCCTTTGTCTGTCTCTCTTTCCTTCTTTCTCTCTCTCCTTCCTTCCTTCCCTCCTTCCCTCCTTCCTTCCTTCCTTCCTTCTTTCCCAGAACTCACATTTTGAACCCCAAATTTCCCCACATAGACAGGTCTAGGCAAAGAGGTATATGCAGAAGCAACTTCATCTGAGGACTCAGGTGCTTTGCTTCTACGTAATCTTCACACAGCTGAGACCCAGACCATGAGGAAGCAGAACACAAAGTTATTGGAGGCCATTAACTTTCCTCCTTTTCCTCTTTTGTCAAGCATTGTCCAGGTATTAATGAGTTGAACAACCCTGGCATTCCTATTATTTTTATACCCCTACAGCCCCTCTTCCTCCCAGAGGTCAAACTCTGCCTGTGGCCAAAGCTCCCCAGTGTAGCAGGGCGTTGTAACCTCCCCTCATCTGACTTAACTTGCATCGACTGTGCTTCTCCAGCATAGAGCAGCAGCCTGGGCATTTTTATCCAAAATCATAGTTGGAGAACCTACTGTCCACTTTTTTTGCAAATCCTAGTGATTAGATTTTTAGAGCAGCAGAAGGCTTGATATCAAATATCTTTTCACTCTAAACAGTTTTGACACTGTAACTCCCACTTCATAGAAGCAGATCCAAGTTGCCAGGCTACGGGAAGGAAAACTGACCACTTTTCTTTTCCAAGATGAGCAGATGAGTAGCAAGAAGCAGACAAAGTGAAAGGTGGTACCATGTGGTAACATCATAAATGAGGACGTGCAGAAAGGAGCAGCATGGGTTCAGATTCTCATTTGCCTAGATAATTTGGGGGTTTTATTCACCAACTGAAATATAAAAACTAAACAATTGCATTAACTGGAGCTGCATTAAATGTCTGAATTAGAATATATTATTTTAAGAGAATATAACTACAAGTGGTAATCTAAGTATAACTGTAACCACGCAATATGTGTAATTGAAATAGAGCAATGTGTTGGCAAAACATTAGACTGTTTCCCAGCTCTAAGCAGCGTGGATCAAGTAAGGAGCAATTGTAAAGCTTTTCCACTAACTTACTGAAGCTCCTATCGCAGTTTGTAGAGAAGGCAGTAACACTCAGGACAGCTCAAATAAGTGTTTCTTGAAGAATGGAATGTTGTTCCCAACTCTCTTGTCTAATTAAAGACCCCAAACATTATTCTACTGAAGTTGATGGCAGTACTTGACATCAAAGCGAATCAAGATTTGCAATTCTTTTATGAAGAATTATTTTTATCATATTGTTAAAAAACAAGCAGGGCAATTCACAGTGCATCACGCGGTAGCACTTTTGTCTCAAGGTGATGGCAGAGTCCAATTCCATAGTGCCTCAGAGGTCCCACCTGAAGCCAAGAGATCAGCTCAACGCTGAGGTTTCGGTATTTGAACCAAGTTACAGTCACCTCCAGAGATACCAGCTCTGACAGGAACCCTGTCCTGCTGTGCAACTGGCAAATACGCTAGAGGACTGAGGAGCTTACAAACTAAATAGACACACATAAAAGATCTATGTTTTGCAGATAAGAACTGAGGCAAGCACAGACTGGCCTGAAGTCACACAGCCAAGCTCCAGTAAAACAAGGGAGGGATCCCCAGATTCATTGCTCTGTATCCAGAGGGGTTATTTGGATGCAAATAGCACTTTGACCTTCATGATAAAAAAATTGGCTTCGATCTCCTGGCTTTACAATATCTTATGTCATCTCTAAAATAAAGAGAAAACAACAAAGTGAAAACCTTCCTCTCCAAACTCTGTGCCTAGGGTTTTGTTTTGTCAAAGAGTTGAACTGAAGCTAGCTAACAAGCAGGGCACAAGGTCTTTATTAGTGAAAGAACTGTTGAAAAATTGGGGATCACGCCTGAGTCTGGGAAGTCTTTGCTCCCAAATCAGTATGAAAATGGGGAAAGATTCATAAGTTTAAAATTACTATTATATTAATTGGTTACCATTCTCCAGATGAACACATAACATCTCTAGCAGCTCTATGGCCAGGGATTGGGGTGGAAATTGAATCAAAGAAGACAAAATTTTCTTTCTCCACAAAATGTGTTATAACTAGGATTATTGGCAAGGTAATATTTTTGCATAACCTGTTTAGAGTTGCTGCTCCATAGATATCTGCTACTTCAGTCCTGGTCTGTTAAGATATCGCTAGAGGAAAGGTCCTGTGTGAAACCAAACTCTAGACTGTATTTTGTATTTTAATGAGGATTCTTTCTCGAAATATTCCATTATGGCTAATGAGATACCAGCAACGAATGCACTAGAAGGGACAGATGGGAAGATAGTCAAATGTCTAAATCAGAAGATTTTCAAAGTGCAGTAAACAAATTATTAAGCGCACTTCTCTGGCTTAATGCCAACCTATACTCTAGGGAACTGGTCAAAGAGTGGATCATAAAATACTTTTCGGAAGCAGCTAAATTCTACAGCTGTGGTCTTTGTTTTTCTAGTACTTTGCAAGAACAGAAGGGGGAATTACGAAAGCGTCTATCGTACACTACCCATAAGCTGGAAATGCTTGAAACGGAATTTGATTCTACACGTCAGTATCTTGAAATAGAACTGAGACGTGCTCAGGAGGAACTTGAAAAAGTAACTGAAAAACTGAGAAGGTTAGTAACTGACTTTTTGAAATAAACAGAGTAATTAGGAATTTGCAAGTGACTGTGTTAAAGACGTATAAGTAAAAATGCAAGCATATAGTCTCAAGCATAGTTCATTTATTATTTATTGATTACGCATTGTGTTTTCACATCAAATATATATCTTTCACTTACCTTCATATGTATTACATACCACATTAGTTATCTACATGTGTTATGTAAGATGCCTCTGTATAGAAAGTATATATGCAAATGGAAATATACCTATGTATGTGCATATATGACATTGTTTATGTGTAAACATACATGTGGGTTAGTGCCACATTGTGTTACACATACAAAGGTTATAAACACACTACATATATTTTATATACATATACAGATAAATGTTTTTAATGAGTTGGCTATGTATTTTCTGTTTTTAGTCTACATTGCACTGGAACAATAGAAAAGAATTTGGCCCTCCATCACTCAAATCTGAGAGTATGTTCAATTCAAATAATATGGCATTTCACATTATGCTATAGCAAATCATTTCCTTTTTAATCTCAAATAGAATGGAATGATACTGTAAACCCATTATTTAAAACTGTTGAAGCTGTGGTACAGTGCTGTTGCAAATCAGGAGCCCAGTTAGTGTTAATGACAAATTATAATAAACATGCGCTCCTGAAATTCCTGGCACTGATTAAGTTTTACATTTATCAGGGATTCTTAATATACATTTTTTTATTTGTTTGCAAAACTTCCGAACCTACAATTATCCATTTATGCAGGAATTTATTTGCATTTCTTGTGAGGATTTTGCTAAACTGATGTAAATAATAACTGTTTGGTTTAGTTCATTGGATAAGTCAAAAGGAAATTCACAACAAATCATTCCAGGGCTATACCCAAAGAAATATTTTTCATTCCTTGCAGAAGGCAAAAAACCAAACCAAAACAAAGACAGAAACCACCAACAAAATGAGTCAACCAAACCATTTTATGCAAATTTGATGCAGAATGAGGCTGTAAGACCTCAAATTAGGAAACATCCTAGTGTGGTCTTATTACTAAAATTCTTCCCTAATGGGGGAGGCTTCTTAAAACCAGGCTAAAATAAGCAGGTTTCATTATGGTCTTGAAATCTACACACATCTATAAAGAGCAGTTCTCCATATTGTTTTCTTTCCAACAATATTTTTCCTATCACTTCACTTAGAGCAGAGCTTTGAAAGTAACTTCACCCTTGACCCAATATGTTACAGGACAGGGAATGCTGGAACTCTTTTCTCTTCAAGCATTATTTCAGGCACGGCTGCCATAATTCAGCAGAGGGGCTGACCATCCCACTTCTGTTAAAACAAAGGGGCTTCCAAGTCAGAAGGAAACCTCATATCAATTTCATTGGGCACTGATGAGTTAAGCACCCTTCAAAACTCAGGCCAGGCAGTCTTTCTTTGCTCATGGCAAAGTCTAGCCCTCATACCCAAACATCAGATTCTTAGAAATTATTTTCCAATATTCTAATGGAACATTGTACCGTATTATGAAGAAAACTTATATTAAAAATTATATTTCAGGCAGGTGATTACTCCCCCGAAGACAAATCATATTGGAAGCCCAAAATATTTTACAAGGTGAGCTTTAAAAATGTTTCTATTGAGAATAGCAAGGCATACCGCAAGTTGAGCAACTAGGTTTCTCAACCTGGAGAAGGATAATGTCTGAAACAAAACTGTCATCCAAAAGCGTGTCAGCAACATGTCACTGGGGAAAATCAATATGAGAAAAACTAAGAACTAGACTTAGTTTCAATAATGTGTCTCTTACCTTATTCACTGCACAGGGAAAGAAATTCAACCCCCACCCCCAATAAATAAGCCCTGTGCAACAAGATCCCACTTGTGTACTGGAAGACATTTCTGTTATTAAACTTCCGCTTACTGTCAAGTGCAGAATTTTTCCAAGAGGCTGAATGACCATCCTTTTCTACACCTTTCTAAAAGCCTTTATTGTTTTAATTTATCCAGAATTGTCTATGTTGCTGCTAGGCCTCCTCTCTCTTAACCAAGCAAAGAGATCACTTATGTGTGTTGATGTTCAAGTTTTTGACCTCTCTACATTTAGAAGTGGCCTTTTGCACTTTTTCCAGTGGGACAAAAAGCAGGACAGTGCTGAGTAGGTTTGAAAATATTAACTGTAAAGCATAGATTCAGCTTTGAAAAGTGACTGAGATGGGGTATTTCATATACGTCATAGGGATCCTCTACCTGAGGTGATCAGCATTGCTTTTTTAAGTTAAAATTGAAAAAAAAATTTCAAATACCAATCTTGGAATGGAAGCTGGACTCCAAATTTCAATTTGGGTTTCCTCGTTGAGACCCCACCCTGGGCAACAACTTGAGAAGGTTCCCATCCTAGCTTTTACCAGAGAGCAGAGCTATTTCAAGACATGAGAAATAAACCCAGACAAGCATACATTTAGCACTGAGATTAGCCCCCATACATAATTGTTTCACCCAAAGCGAAACGTTTGATGGACTAAAGAGGTGTTCTGAACAGGAATCCCCTAGCTGTGCTAGCTTTGGAATAAACATGGGGAAAACTCTCTTGTTTTCATAAGGAAGTAACTTGCGATAACAGAGAGGGGAAAGGAAAGTTACTATTTTAACGGTCACTCTTCAAAGCTAAACTGCAGTCTGAGTGAAATTCCCTTCCTTTAGAGAGAGTCAGCCCAAACTTGTGTTTTACTTCAGATATATGTCCTGGCCTTAAGAGGGCTTGAGATTGTGTGCCAGCAGAGAAATTGAGGCTTTTTCAGATTTCTTCTTTAGCTGTGGTCTGCAATCTTAGAGAGGTGTGTGTTGTCTTCTAGGTTAGAGCACAGACACCTCATGTTCAATATGGTCAGAATATTTTTCATTAGGTGCTGATTTGGGCAAGAATCTAAACATGCATTTAATGCACGCACATACATACACCTGGAGGCACATCTGTTTCACATAATAATACGAACAACACAAAAAAACATCAAAAAATTATAATAAGTTATTGATTCACAGGAGCTTATTTTTATAGCAGTTTCATGGGGTAGTGAAGCTGACCTACTCTTTGCTTTATTTACACAGAAGCCAGATTTACAACATTAAAACATTTCATACTTCAAAATGTTAAAGCTCTTTGGGCGTAATTTTTCTGCAAACAGGGTTTTCCTCGTCTGATCATTTTCAAATTTGAATAATTTTCCTTATTTCTCCTTTGTTTTACAGTTTTTCCCAAAGATTGATTTGATTACTTGGTTTCTCTTTTATCCCTTTAACACTTTCTTCCATATATTTCTGGGTCCATTTCTCTCCTTGCCACCCACATTTGCTGACACTTCTTTTGGCACAGTGGATTTCCAATTTGGGGTTTATGCATATATGTGCATGTGTATGTGCTTGTGTATGTGTGCATGTGTTTGTGGTTATTTTGACTACCTTTGCATACTGTTCTCAATAGAAACACTTTTTGAAGCTCAGCTTCCTACTTACTGTGGATGTTTTCTTTAGATAGAATTTTATTTTTCTGGGAGGCGGTCAATTTTTTCAATGCAAAATGAATGTGTTAGAGAACCAGGGTTTGTGGGCTACTTTCTCCTAACCATAAAACAGGGGAAAATTTTATGAGGAAGGACAAAAGAAGTTACAAGCAGAGAAGCAGACTGTGCTAAGCTCTTCCAAAAACCCTCTGCCATCCATGTCATGGAAGTGTTGCCATCCAAGAGTAATTATCTTAATGGTAACCAATCTTCCAGTCACCCATATCAAGAGAAAAAGTGCCAACAGAAGCTGAGGAGCAAACCCAGTGATGCATTGTCAACATCATAAGACAGATATCCAAGTAGCAATTACTGCTGGTTTTATTCATCATCTCAAATTTAGGGAAAAGGGTCTTCCTTGAGCTTTCCACTTACATCTACACTACAGAACAGACTGAGGTACAGAGACACCTGAACTAGAGAAGCCCTGAACCAGTATTTTTTTCCGCTTTTCTTTCAGGAATTTATGCAGATGCTTTTCAATCCATGCACATTTTCAGGAGGTTGCATGTGCCAAAATTTTACATTGGTTTTACACCACCTCTATTTGAGCCATGAGCTGCCTGGGTGCAAAGCAAGTTTAACCTGTTCTATTTTGCTTTACTAGAGAAAAAAAACTATAGACCATGACAGAGAAGATACTGGGGTTCTTCTTGTCTCAGTCAGCAGGCTCTATCTTATTTTTCTAAATCCTTGCTCCCCACACCACAGCACACAGCCTTACCAGCAAAACATAACCCTGCTTGTGCTGAGTAGCTGTCTGCAGGCAAAGCCAGTTTAAGCCTCCTTGCTTCCACTGATTTATCAAGAGCACCTCTGCCTTCTCCTTTGCCATGAAAAGCTGGGTACAGGGTACCCTAAGATTTCTCTCTGTTGCGTTGACTCTGGAGGAACAGCTGTGAAATCCCAAGTATACCTAGAGCTGCACAAATAAATGTCTATAGAGAGGCTTAGTAGCAAATGCATCTGACAGGGGCACGGACAAAGCAGAGACACAGAGATCCATAAACTCCAGTCAATCGTTTAAGTCACCTGGACATTTACACAATGGCACTGTGAGAACTGGTGAGTGATGACCAAGCTGTAGGTTAGTACAGGTCTCACAGATTTTCAACCCATTTGGGTCACACCTTAGCAAGCACTCTTTACCACAGATCTCCTTACAAGGAGGAAATCTCTGCTTAGCAGCTCTGTAAAAAGTACATGATGCTGCAACTTCCTCCAGGCTCACAACACACGTTTGAAACGGCTGCCCTGAGTCTGGGCTGACCCTCGGGGAGTTTCACCCGTGGGGATGGCACTATTTATGCCCACAAAGCAGTTGTCCTTGGCACAGACCTTCCCTTCCAGGTCCATGCAGCAGATGTTACGGTAATACTGGGAGTCCCAGTGGGAGCTTTGCATGCCTCATGAGAGACACCACGAGCCACTGGCGTGCCCTCGAACAGAAAATTTTGATCATTTAACTGGAAAGAAAATCTCCATGGCAACAGAAGCAGGGAGAGAGACTCCACTGACAAGAAGGGGTGGGCTGGACCCCTTGATTTGCAGCCATGGCATGGTTCAAATGCAGGTCTTGGTTCTGGTTTCAACATGCACTCCTAACCATACAATAAACCAAAGAGATTACTTTAATCCAAATCCCTTCCTAATCATTATGGAAACAACACCCAGATCCAAACCTTCTGGAACAAGTGGCTTTCTGCTGAACGAACATCTACTACATCTGAGTGCATTCGTACAGTGAACGCACTTGCCCATTGCCTAAAATCAATTCACCACTGAAAATACTTTGACCTATTGACCTAAGACTCTCAGTACAAACATACAGATGTATTCAGACAAACTTTTCACAGCTGAGCTTCTAGCATTTTCTTTATAGTTGCTATAAATCTTGCTGAGGTGATATGTACAAACAAGAACGAGGAACTACCCTCTTGCCTTCTGTGAAAAGGCAGGCACAACTACTACCAAAATAGCGATGTTTTTCCCACAGACTGCACAGCTTGTTCATTGAAATACCAAGGTTACCATCTAAGTAACCTGAAGATGTACAGACTGAAACTTTTCTTTGGTGTATCGCTCTGGAATAAGCAGGGGAGTCTTATTTTGTGAATCCATTCAATCCCTCGGTGCTGATAAAAATAAATACCCACCTTTTCCAGGCTAAGCTATCTAAATGTATTTCCTGAAGAAAGGGGATGTGTTTAGCTCTTGAGAATAGGCAATTCCTTGACCTTCTGTCAAAAGAAGGTATATTCTCTTCTAAGTCATGTGGTGATACGCACATGTTGCTTTTGCTACAGTCATTAGGTTTCTGCTGCAATTCTCCTTATTAAGAGAGCTCCATAAGTCTTTTTCTATACTTTCTAAGCATACAGCTCAAACTTCCTCTCTAACATATCATTCCTGAGCCTGATGTAAAGCTAGAGTCTCTTTGTGCAGGTTCCTATGCTGTGATGCATGTCTGCACACAAGCGCAGAACAGTAAATGTATTTTCACTTCCTGATGGAATTTGCCACTAAATATAGTAAGCAAATATGACAACGAAGTTTTTCTTAGGAAATAGGTGGTAATTACATTTCAAAGGCAACCACTGACTGGCAACAGGAGTGATAAGAAAATAGATTTCAAGTAGTGCAAGCCAAGGTTTTGTACTGATGTGAAAATTACAGGTAAAAAAACAACACCAAAACCAATGCATTCAATTACATGATATCATCTTTGTTTTAGGATACAAAACAATTACCTAGCCTTACAAAGAATTAATCAGGATCTGGAGGATAAACTTTACAGAATGGTAAGTTATCATGTGAACTTTTTTTTTAATTTATCAAATGTGTTTTTACGGTTCTTAAGTCATAGGACGAATGTATATGTAGCTGTCACACAAAAAACCCCTCATGTTCCAAATGCAGTATGCTTAAAAGAGATATATGACTTTATCAGTATCATGGTCTAGAGCTTAAGCTGTGTACGACAGCACAGCTCCATCAATTTAAATGGAGATTGGATTGGCTGATGATCTGCCTGAGTAAATTGTACAATAATTCTGGTTGATTTAGTTAATAACTTCATGCGTTTCAAGTATTTATGTTTTCATTAAGTAACAAGTTTAAATAAGGTAATCCAAGGCTTTCTCATGCTTCTTATATACTTTCACTCAGCTTTTATTAAGTGATTTAATAGAGCTTGGATGGTCTGACTTGTATATGCTGTCATAACGATCAATCTCAGTGTATTAATTTCCAATCCACATGTGTCTGCAACCGCAATGTCAATGTCACTGTCACAGGCCAATTAGTAACTCAGGGAGGAAATCACTCCACCATTTATGGGCTCCACATCTAGGACTGATATCATGACACACATCACTGTTCATTCAAAATAGTTTGATGTTAAAAAAAAAAAAAAAGGCAATGCCTTTAGTGCCCTAGCTCATTGCTAATGCTGCTGGGACATCATACTCACTGTCAGGAGAGAATTTACAGAGAAATGTTAGGGTAATACTTAGAGAGGAAACAACAACCATTTTGAACTTCCAAAGCTTGGAATGAGGGAAACAGATTATTGAGCTTTGATAGTCAATAGGGACTATGGCAACATATGGGAGAGACACCAGCCTTTACTAAGAAACAATCTATTTTAAACATCATTGTTCTTACCTCAGGAGTCTGTTTAAATAGCTGACAATGGATAGAGTACTGATGCTTTTGTAAGTGGCTAAGAACAGGGCAAAGTTACCACTGGGTTATAGCTGATACTTGTTCATAAATGTATGTATAAACACTGTACAAGCATAAATAACATTTGATCTCATGATATTGTTTTTTTTCTCCACTTTTCCTTTGTTACATTCTTTTACACAAATCACTTTGGGATTTTGTCTTCATCTGTGGACTAATATTAAGTACATGTGTGCTACAAAAGATAAATAAAGTAGAGGCATTCTGACTGGTATACAAAATGAAAAGGTTAGAAACATAGAAAGAAAGACTCCAGAAAATCCATGCTTTTTTTATCAGGTTTTTTAGATCAAAGCAAAGAATTTTTAAACTGCTGTTTCAGCATCCACTTTAAATCCTGAGCAATGATTTCAGAGCACAGCACAAAAATAAGGAGGACTGGTTCCATGGAGCACTGTACTTTTCTTTATCCCACTAATATGACTGTCATTGAAGGTAGCTTTAAAGCCTTGAAGTAGATCAACCAGGCTCTGTACACCACTTAACTTCAGACTGCTTTGCCTTCTGAAACACTGAAACTGAAGACTCAAAACAAAACTTAACAAATATCAAATGGAAACTCTATTGAAAGAAAAAAAAAAAAAAAAAAGGAAAACTTTTTAAAAAAAAAAAAAAAAAGAGGAAAAAAGTATCATATTTGATTTAGATAAGCCAAATTATTTGATTTTCAAGGCACTCCAAAATCCCTCAATACTTCAGAGAAAGTTGGATTAAATAACAGCTGGTCTGGTTAATCAACAGCTTATGGTGGACTGGGCTCTTGGATACCTTTCTCTCTTTTCCCGCTTAGAACAGCTGTGTTTATTTTTTTGTATAATTTAGTCAGTTTGTCATTCCAAAATCAAAAACCTTTGATTTCTCTACCTTTATACAAATCAAAATACATAAACCATGTGTTTACTTTCTCCTCTCTCCCCTACCCCATCCCTCTATACACATGCATATATGTGTACACACACACACAAATATGCACTCAGATTTGGGTGTACCAGTTTTGACAATTTAATGTGTCCAAAAGCAACAAATAGGGAAAAGAACACTCCTGGGGCAGTGGTCCCTCACTCTCCCAGCCTGCAGGTGACCTGGGATGCTCCCAGGAGACCATTTTCTCCCTACCTTTACAGGTGACCCACAACCACCCCTCTCCCAGTGAGTGGCCCCAGCTCATCACAACTGATCTACAACTCCACCTTGGCCTCCCTTTTCTAATGTTTTTGGGTATCCTCAATGTTAAAGCCTTTCAAGCCTGCTATTGGTATAAGGGATGTAAAAAATAATCATTAATTCATCAGCAGGCACAGAAAAGAAGCTGAAATAGCAGTTATTTTTCTTCTAGGCTCTGCTTCCTTTTGAGTGCTAATCTATAAAATATTTAAAAATATTTGAAAGCACACTTCTGATCACAGCAAATGGTATCCAATTGAAACCTCTGTCACAGCAGCACTCAAAAATATAAAATATAAACCACAGTGTCTGTGTTGGCTAAGAGCTAAAAAATGCAATCCTGAAATGAGGGGAGAGTTTGCTGTATTAAACTGGGCAAGGCTAAACATGTGGCACAGTGGAGGCAGATGTAGCACAGAACTAAAATTTGCCTGTCACTACTCATAAAACTCCTGTTCTTACCACAGCTGGGGAGACAATTTGTTTGGTCCTGTAAGCACTAGTTAAGCAGGGGGATATACAGACTGTCTTCTTAAATAATTTAGCTTTATAACTCTTTTTTCCATTAAGATGCGGGAAAAGACTTAGCAGAGTCCTCAAATTTTGCACTGTGATTCCATTAAAAGACTGTTCAATTAAAGAACTTTTTATGCTATCTAGTCCCAGTTGTCACCAGTAGTCTTCACTTTCCCTTACACTTGTCTGACTTTCCCAGGGATGCTCTGCCATGGTCTTGTTGCTCACAAACAGCAATTACAAGTAGATTATGCGAGTCATCCCAACCACATGTTAAGAAATCCTTTATATGATCTCAATCCAACTGTATCCTCAGTGGAATTAACCAATATATTTTAAAAAGCTTCTGATGTTTTAAGGCTTTTGATTGCAGTTAGTTCTGTAATTTTAACTTTACATCCATAAGCCAGATGTCAATTGTATCTACATTTGGGAAGAACTGATACCTAATAATAGCTGCCTAATAAACCTTACTGCTAATGAAAATCGCACCCATTTCTCCTCCCCCATCTGCATTTTGAATGTTCTTGAAAACTTGATCACAGAAATCCAGCCACAAAGATCTCATGAAACCTTATTCTCCAGAAACATCCTAAAATATGCCTTTTGTAACTAGAAAGTAGCAGTTTGACAGACAGACTCCTTGATGATATAAGCTCACTTCTCATGCAAAGTCCTTCAAGAGGCAAGTAGGTAAACCTCTGCTGGGTCTAAAATGCATGCTATCTGCATCTAATGCAAAAATACACAGGCAGTGTTGGGGGTGGATATGGAAGGTGACAGCCCTGTAGTTAGGAGAAGAGCCCTCTGATGAGCAGGGGAACCAGCTGATAAATCAATGCACCCACTTCATAAACCCTTACTCCCACATACCCCTTGACCTGCCAGCTCATCTGCCTCAAGACTGCTGCCAAACTGAAGGCTCTGGTTCTTCAAAGTGTCATCCCCAGTCCTGTTGAGTTTAGTTGCTGTTTCTCAGGAAGGAAATTGCTTTTTTCTCCCTTGGTGCCACTTCAGGACCTTCTGGTAGTGTAGGCAACACTGAATGCTGCCAGACATCAAGGACGTGACTGCTCTGTGGTGTAGGAGATGCTGGGCACCAGCTCTGCCAGCTGTGGTGGGCTCCCCAGCCACTGGGACTCTGGTTCCCTGCCCTGCAAAGCCAGCATCATCCCTCTGCACATGTTTTATCAACTGTCACAATGAAAACTGTTACATTACTTTAATGCCTAGTTTTTCATTTACATTAAGGCAGGCTGGGGGGTGTGACTCAGCCATAAAGTTGGAAGAAATTATTACATAAACCAGCACTAAAGAGAGATTTCTGTTAGGGATGATCACTGAGCTATCTGAGCACTGCACTGATTTTTATCCTGTTTCTTCCTCTGCCTATGAGCTGGAGGAGGACTGAGAGGTACAGCAAATACTTCATGCTTTGTGTTATTAAGAGTTATTTATCCAGCTCTTGAATATCTGGAGCTTTCCAGTCTGCTGGCCATAATATATACCTAAGCATCTCCTGCTGGGGAAATCCAAAAATGAATTAAATATGAGCTGGGCAATTTTAAGTGATGCTTTGAGACTTTGTGTCAGGGGAATGTTATTTTAAAGGAAGAAGCTTGCTGGGTATCCAGGCCAGGAAGGTAAAGAATATGGAAAGTGATGAGGACTGAAAAACGATTTCACAGAATCACAGAATCACAGAATTTTAGTGGTTGGAAGGGACCTCTGATATCATCGAGTCCAACCACAAAAAAAAAAAAACAACACACACCAACAACACACCACACCAAACGCCCACCAAAAACACCGCACCCACCAACTAAACCCCACACTCAACACCTCACCATAAACCAATAACCTTGGGCACTAGAGCATGCCCTGAAGAGCCATGTCTATACGTTTCTTAAATACCTCCAGGGATGGTGACTCCACCCCCTCCCTGGGCAGGCTGTTCCAGTGCCTGACCACTCTCTCAGTAAAGTAGTTCTTTCTAATATCTAATCTAAATCTCCCTTGCCGCAACTTCATACCATTCAGTCAGCTGTTAAAAGCACCTAGCTACTAGGATGAGCCCAGCACTTTGGCTTCAGAATTTAAACAAGTCAATCATTAGATTTCACCTGAGTCTCCCATGATAGCTACCAGTCACTCCCCAATATGGTTTAAGTCATAAGTGAAAGATGTAGGCAATGGAGAAAAAGCCTATTTCTGAAGCAAAGCAGGTCTGATTTCATTAAAGGAAAGCAGAAGCCCAGCATGTTCAGGTTCCTGCATGGAACATGACGACTTTGACTGTGACTTTGAATTGAGTGATTTAAAGCACATCTTTTTCATTTTATCTCCTTTATGAAGGATAACTTCCTTCCCCCCC